CAGGAAGTGCTTACCGTTGTGCGACCAAAAGTCAATTTTAAACTGAAACCATAGCGCACCGCAAGCGTCCAACTCGCAGATAAGAGTCTGACGTTCTATAGGATTGAGCTGGGCGGTTTGCACTCTTAGCAGGGGGAGTGAGATGCACTTCCACTGCGGGCAAGGGACAAGAAGGAAATCCGTGTGCCGGTTGGCCATTGTCCGTCACAAGGAAGGTGCGGATCCCAGGGATTGAAGGGATGGAGTTGCTTTACTACATAAAAAGTTCTGGGAAGGAGTCGGGTATGCCATATTGAAGTCCCGGGTGTATGATACAAAATATAGACTCGCCCAAGGACGGCAAAAACAAAACACAAACAATTCCGTCCCCATAGCCCACCGCGAGGGTCGAACTCGCAGCCTTCAGATGCCACTGCCTAGTTAAGAGTCTGACGCTCTATCCGATTGAGCTAGGCGGGCATGTCAAACGAAACAGACCGACGTGTCACCACCGAGTCGCCCACCCGTCCCCTCGCAAAATGTAGAGATCGATCGACAAGTTCTCGATGCAATTGCCTCGTGCCAGTCGTTCAGCGCCCATCGGTCTGTCGCGTTCGGCACTACACAGCGAATCATTGATGGGAAAATTCTTTTGACGCTTTGACCATCCTATCACTGGCATGCGACGAGGTGAGAATGTTGATGGGATGTATGCATGGGCGGTGGAGGGTGGCGCTGTGGCGGTGGCGATCGAGGAATTCGGAGCCGCACGGCCGTATCAGGCAAGGAACGACGCTCGATTGATTCCGTCGAACGGCGATGGATCAAAGTCGGATGTGGGGACGATAGTACAACCCCGCAGGGTGTGTTTCAGATAATCGAGAGAGAATGTAGGGTGGTAAGCCAGGGTGATTCTGCAGTCGGAGCTCTCAGTTGCGTGCCGGGAAAAAACATCGATCCCTGCTTTTATAGCCCACCGCATGGGTCGGACCCGCATCCTTCGCATGACACTGCCTAGTTAAGAGTCTGACGCTCTATCCGATTGAGCTAGTCGGGCGTGAGATGGGGGATGAAATAGAGAAAGCCTGGTGTCCTTCGCCGGGTCCCGCAAAACTTGGTTCCTCTCGCGAAAAAATGTAAATCCCAATGATCCGCAATACAATGTTAGAGTGGTGAAAGGTGGCGCTGTGGCGGTGGACAAAACCGCCCGCGATCGAGGGTGGCAGAGTCGGGAGCAAAGGCGGATGCGGGCCACATCCCGATGCTTATTCAGCACAATTTCCACGCAACTTGT